AGTGTTATCGAAAAAGGCTTTGATGGTGGACCAAAAACAGGGGTTTGCTGATCCCCAATCGGTGTACAATGTGCAAATCAGCAGAAGAAACCGATGTGCACCTCTTTTATCCACTGTGACTTGGCATGTGGGAGGATTTGATGCAGTGTATGGGAACCAAGGCTCAAGACTAAGGTATAATACTTGAAACTTGCACTTAAACTTGACAATACAACTTCAATTTTACATGGAATTACAAGATATACAAAATTTTTGCCTTAATTAAAGTCACATAAAATGAAATTACAGCCACTCAAAATACATTAAGCACTCTTAAAACCAAGGATTACGACTCAAGTTGTGCCCCTTGTTAAAAATCCAACCAAACTATGTGTGGAGATTGAGTATACAACACGTAAAACTAGTGCTTATTAAATTTCAGCACTATACAAATTTACAAGGAAAACTTATACATGAATTTCTACTTCAAGACTCAATAAACCTCAATCTCCATTTCACAAACACATTAATGATCAAGTACTCAATGAAACATGATCGTGGGAAGCCTTGTAGCGCTCATAGTGCCTGGATTGCCACCAAGGTCTTATCAATATACAATGGAGTGATTTATGATGGCAATTCGCAACTTATTACCAATTTCAGTTTATCATAAGAAAGGGAAGCATATGCATCTTTGATCTACACATAGTGTGGCTCTTTAATGAAGAGAGGATTTTAAGAAAATGGGGTTTAGGTGTGGGAAAAATCGTGGGAGAGATGGGAGGGTCAATATCTCATCAGCTTGGTACAAGATTAAGAAGCATGGTGGGGGAATTTGACATACTTTCCCCATGTAAAATCTCCAAATCAAACCATCAACAAGGTGATTTAATTGATTCATTTAGAATCCAAAATTCTCAGAAAAATCAGTCAATTTAAGTCCTAGAAATCTCAATGAAAATTCCCTAAAAGTCAACTCAATCAACTATAGATCATACCCTTAAACTCATATAGATCAAATTAGGCTCAATTGTTCATCAATTAAGGAGCTAGGGGATAGTTATGCCTTGCTATAAATTGTGATTTGCAGCCATGACTTGCTTCAAGATTGAGTGAATTTGAATACCATGAAGCTTAGTAATCACTGTCAAGCTTGAATGGAGCCCCTAGCTTAATTTTCTAACTAAGATCATCTCACCAAACAACTCACTCTAAAACACACTAAAACGCTAGAGAGGAGAGAGAGAAACCCAAGGCTAAGGCATTCCTCTCTAGAGAGAAGAGGTGATCAAAATAACTAATTAACTATTTATAGGCTGATAGGCATGAGTGTAGAGATGCTTCTAGATGAGTTCTTGGCCATCCATGTCAATCATCTATGGTACAAGACAAAGGCTTGATCCTAGCCTCTCATCACTCATGATGCCATTTTGATGAGTGGATGATATTTAACACCATTATCCTCCCATAAAACCTTAATTCACTCACAAATTTTCCTTCTTTAAATCATTAATTCAAATTAACATCAAATTCAACTTGCTTCCACCAAATTCAACTTGCTTTCATGAATGCCCTTGTTTTATCAATATAATCAAATGAAAAACCATAGTTAGAGGCTTGCCCTTAAGGTAATTTAGCATAATTTTTAGAAGCAATTTGAATTTGATTTTCCCTCCAATTTTATTGTGCAATTTTAGTGTGCATGTTCATGCAATCACATGTTGCCAGGTAAGATAGGTGGTTATGTGCACAATTATATATGGCCATATGGTTTCAATCATAATTACAAACCCCATGCACTTTTTAGAAGCTTTTCCCATGTGCACTCACCCAACAAACCAACACATTAATTTTCAATTTTTCACAAAAAAATTCACTTAAATAAGAGAACATGACAGAATTTTGGATATGAAAAAGGGATCCTACAGGGGGTTGACTGCACCCCCATGTCATCTCCACGTGGGGCTGATGTGGACCCCACATGGGCCCATGTGGCACCCACGGGCCTTGGTGACATGGGCCCTTGTGGCTTGTCCTTATTTGTCATTTGTCCAAATCAATTATGGAAAGATCAATTTCAGCTCAAAAAAATTCAGAAAAATCTCCAAAAATACCAAAGCTTATCCCATCAAAATGACACATTTTGCATTATTTAAAAAATAGTAATGAGGGAAATTAGGATCCTGTGGAGATGAATTGGGCATTAGAGTACTCCACTCGGCTAGATGTGGAATCCCAAGTCACCTTCTTGGAATGACCCAAGAAGTCCATGACCCACAGTGCCATGCAGAGGCTCATGCTCTGGCTTATTAAAATCAAACCGATGTGTGGCTCAAGATTCTCAGGTTGTAATGGGTTATAGATGCACCCCCGAGGACATGCTCTCAAATAGATGTGGGGGCCGTCTCTTGGTACATATGCATATCTCTTCTCAGTGGATCAACTGAAAGAACGGCTTTCCCTTTTTCAATAGTACATGCACTTGCCATTTGAAGGTTACTGTGTTAGGGATTTAGGCTTATGTCCTCTCAGAGCCTTAAACCTCCTTATTCTAGGCTAAATCCATGAGCTCATATTACAACCAATTAGTCATTATCAATCACATACAAAATGCCTTGGCCATTTCACAGTCATGAGGCATAAATCTAAGAACCAACCCTAATCCTAGATCCATGCCATGTCGCTCCTTTACTTCCACTGAAGTCAATAACTATGTAAGTGTCGGTATTTTAAGCCCTTGAAAGGCCATAGTTCCAACAAATGCTACTATTCAATTTGGATGGCGGCGACTCCCAATCTGTCCCACCCTTTTAGTTCCCTAAAATCTATCCCCTAGTCTAAGTTGGGTATTTTTCTTTGGCGGTCCTCCATGGCAATCGCTGTGCGGGTGATATGGACTGAAAGAAACCATAGGATTTTCCGTGGAGAGGAGTCCACCATCAGTGCATTGAAAGACTGGATCAGAACTGTGGTAACATTTTGGGCAAGGAACCATAAACTCTTCAGGCATCATTCCCACACTAATTTCATTCAAGATTGGCAGTCCATGCTATACTTGAGGCCCTCTTGAATCCCACGCGCCTCCCTTTGGAGACCACTAGAGCAAGGCCAAAGCAAACTGAAATTTGACGTTGCTCCATCAGCAGCCCCAACCTGGAATAGGGGGCATCTTCATAGACAAGGATGGATCCACTCTTTATTCCTTCTCCAAATGTATTGGCCATGTGGATTCTGCTACGCGGAGGCCCTTGCCCTCCTTGAGAGCCTTAAATGCAATAACCCATATGGAAAACCCCATTTTGGTCATCGGGGGGGATTCCAGAAATGCTATTTCCTGGGTCTCAAGGGACCTCACCTTTCCCATGAAGACTTGAGCACATTTTTGACAAAATATTCAATATCTGCAGGCCTATGCACGTCTTATGGCAACATAAATGGCATAAGGCCAACTTGGTAGCCAACCACCTCACTGAAGGAGCACTTTCAAACAACACAACTTTTTGGCACCTTTTTGAGCAATCGGTCCCTTGAGCTCTATTTTCTTTTTTGATGTATCTTTGGTTCTGCCAAATTTTTTTGGATGTATGGTTTTGGTCCAAATCTCATTTTCGGTGCTGAGCACCCAAGCTGTGGTTGTGTTTCTTTTTTGTACCCCTGCTCACACTTAAGAGAAACACTAACATCTTTGCCACCAAAGAAAAAAAGCAAAGAAAAAGAGAGGAGAGAGAGATAGAGAGAGAGAGATCACCAAATGAAAGCAGTCATCTTCTCAAAGTCTTCCCATCAATCTGTCCCAGATTTATTTATAACCTGAAGTCTCATACATTACCTCACCGAGACCAGTAAATGGGCTCTCTTATTTGAAAGCAAGATGGGTTCGGCTGATAAGGACTCCACTATGGATGGAATATATCTACCGTCACCTTATGGAAATCAGATGTTTGTTGGCAGTTATGATATGCAGAAATTTTTAATCAGAACATAATTAATATAAGCACACTTGGCCTGAGGTAATTAGTATTATTCTGATTATGTTCTGGACAAATTGAACTTAATTCACTTCAGCTGTAGTCCTTACAAAATAAATGACTCATAGTCATCCAAGTTCTTACCAGCTTGAATTAGCGCAGTGAATGTAATTTTTCATTAATGTTATGCTGGCTGAAATATCATCACCTTTCTAATTTAAGCAGTTTCCAAAAAAAAAAAAAGAAGAAAAAATATGCTCTCCTTTCAAAGGTGAGAATAGAGCGTACACACTTGTCCTAATTAGATAGAAGTCTTTAAGGGCCTACTGAGAAAAACAACGGTCTTTGAAAATTCCTCTCTTAAAGTCCTCCGTGTTCATACTGGCTTGGATGAAACAGGTTCTTGAACACATTGGTTTTGATTTGTTCAGTTATCATAAGCATGAGGCAACCATGGAAATATGAACACTTTTGTATGGTAGGAACTACAAAAATAAGTTCATATTCTTATTTGATTTTGTTTGGGGTTCAAAGCTAACTCATTCTGGTGCAAGCATTCTTCCTTACGATTGATGATCTCCTGTCTATTGTGATGTGTTTATAAGTGTAGTTAAGAAATACTTATTTATGGATAAATGCATAGGGAATGTTAATGAGTGGAAGAGAAAGCAGAGTTATGTTCCAAAGCCAAAAATTTGGGAACTATAATCCTATTATAGGATGAGATTTCTGCAATATGTGGCCTGTATTTCTGTTTGAAATTGGGTTTACACACTTTTACAGGTGCCTTGTATGTCATGAGAGGCATTTGTAAGTAACTTGCAAAACTGTAGAATTACTGGTATATGGCTGTTCAAACTTCTCATACCTGGCATCTGTAAAAAGAGAAAGAATAAGAAAAAGAATAAATAGAATGACCTGCCCATATCTGTGAATGACCTCCATGTGGTACTCCCACACACCTTTTGCTTTTTGTCCCTTTTTTTTGTATATATAAAATTATGACTGCTCTAGAAGCAAGACAATCCTTGACTTTACTCTTTTGTTTAGCAGATGTCAGTAGCTTCAGGAAACAAAGTTATGGTTGTCATATGCTTTGATAAGGCAGCTCGTGTTATGTTTGGCTGTTCTGCTGATGAATTTTTTGACTTTGCAAAAGTCAATCCATTTGCTGGTATGTTATATCCAAGCAGAGTACTAACTTATGCCATGCAATATTGTCAAAGAGGTTGCCAATGGCATTTTTTTTCAGTTGTCGATTTGTGTCACTATTCAAAACTTACGTTAAATGCTGATAGTATCCCCTTAACTGTTCTACACAGCGGCAGATTTAAGTTGGTATTACTGGAGCTTCACATATATCCAGTAGGAAGAATTGTTTATTTGTTAGAACTGATGCATTAGGGAAATTGAGAATATCGAGAAAGACGAAACGTAAGCAAGGACAGCATGCCATGATGTGAAGCAATACGCTAAAGAAAACCAGGGACGATAATTAAAACCTGTTTGAATTGATTCTGTTTCCTGATACGTAAGTAAAGAGATGAAACCTCAAGGATTGGACATTTGGCTGATATATAACAAGTGGTCTCTTTCTTTTCTAGTAAAATCAAGTTAATTAATATTATGCTACTTCATGGACATTGACTTTATGATTGTTAACAAGTGGGTCTCTTTCTTTCTCGGCCCAGGTTCATGGTAGAGCTGGTTTCAGGCTTCAATCGATGCTTCAGTTACTCAAAGCCTCTCTCAAGTCCTGGAGGTCTTCAATTTTAATTTCTCTCAAACCAAAGCGGAACTTCTTTTGAAACTACAAGAATTGGACAGTATTGAAGAATCCCGCCCCCTGTCTCCCTCAGAAACTGAGCTCAGAACCCATTCGAAACTGGAGTATCTCTCTACCCTGAAAAAAGAAGAGACTTACTGGTTTCAGAGGTCAAGGGTCAAGTGGTTGAAATTAGGGGACCACAACACCCGTTACTTCCATAGAATCTCCAATTGCCGTAGGAGAGACAATACGATCTCAACCATCAAAGTTAATAATGTATACCTCGAACAGCAGGCGGAGATTGATTCAGCTATCATCAATTTCTTCCGCAATCTTTACACTGCCCCCATCGGTCCTAGATCCATTATGTTCGACCTTGACTTCTTGACTCTGTCGGTGGATTGGGCTTCCTGGCTCGAACGCCCTTTCCTCGAAGAGGAAATCCTCAAGGCCCTGGATGATCTCGCTAAAGACAAAGCCCCTGGCCTTGACGGATTCCTTGTGGTCCCCCTTTAAGGTCTTCTGGGCATGTTTTCGAGCCGACTTTTTAAGCTTCTTCAATGAATTTTACCAGCGAGGTATCCTAAACAAAGCGATTAACTCAACCTTCATCGCCCTTGTTCCCAAGATCGAAGGGGCTGAGGAACTTAAGGATTTCCATCCTATAAGTTTGCTCAACTCTACTTATAAGATTCTCGCTAAGGTATTGGCTTCTAGACTTTAGCAAGTTCTCCCTTCAGTTATCTCCCCCACGCAATCTGCCTTCATTAAAGATAGACAGATTCTAGATGGGGTGTTGATTGCCCATGAATGCATCCATTCCAGGAACCTTTCCAAAAAACCTGGTCATATTTTTAAAATAGATTGGGAAAAGGTATATGACCATGTTGATTGGTTGGTTCTGCTTGAGACTATGGTTCACATGGGTTTCCCTGACCTGTGGTGCAATGGGATTAAGGGGTGTATCTCGCACCCTTTCTTCTCTGTCATCATCAATGGTACCCTCAAAGGGTACTTCCAGTCTTCGAGAGGGCTGTGCCAGGGGGATCCTCTCTCCCCCTTCCTTTTTGCGATTTCAGCAGAAGTTTTCAGTCGTTCCCTGGGTCGCCTCTACCAAGCTGGATTTCTTTCAGGTTTTAGCACCTCAAGAGTCGGGCCTACCGTATCGCATCTGCAATACGCAGATAACTCCTTAGTGTTTCTTGATGCCTCTCCTACTAAGGTGGTTAACCTAAGAATCTTCCTCAAATGCTTTCAGTTGGCCACGAGGTTCAAGGTCAACATGGATAAATCTAAGATGATGGGGGTTGCTATTACCCCAAATCTCATTACAAATCTCATTCCTCAGTGGGATTGTAAAGTGGAGGAGCTCCCGACTTCTTATCTGGGCCTCCCACTAGGTCTCAGGAAACCTAGGAAATGTCTTTGGTCTCGAGTCATCGATAAGGTGGATAGAAGGCTGGCCGGTTGGAAAGGGAGATTCTTGTCCCAAGCAAGTTGGTCCACCCTTATCAAAGCCACTTTATCGAATGCACCAGTGTACAGGATGTCTCTCTTCCATCTACCGGCGTCTGTGGCTAACCGCCTCTTGCAGCTCATGAGAAACTTCCTATGGTCGTGTCAAGCAGAGAAGTCTAAGTACCATCTGATTTCTTGGGACAAAGTTCTTCTTCCCAAAAAATAGGGGGGATTGGGCATCAGAAACTTAAGAAAATAGAATTTGGCCCTCTTGGGGAAGTGGTGGTGCCGTTTCGCCACCCATCCTGATTCCCTATGGGCGCAAGTACTTGGACACAAGTATCATATTCCCAACCTCTGCTGGTTCCCGAATCCAGACAACGGTCTAATGCCTCTGGGGTGTGGAGGTCCATTTCCACCACTCTAGAATTTTTCAGGAAGAAAATTAGATTTTGCCCAAGAAGTGGTTCTTTGGTCCACTTCTGGTCTGATCTTTGGATTGGCTATCTACCCCTCAAAGATTGCTTTCCTTCGCTCTTCCTTTTAGCGCTAAATAGAGAGGCTACAGTTGAGGACGAATTCAGGTTGGTGGGAGACAGAAGGTGTTGGCTCTTTCAGGAGGGATCTTCGAGAGGACAAAGTTTCCATTCCTCTCCCTCACAGCCTTGCTTTCCAATACCTTCATCTCTGCCCAGGGAAGGGACAGAATTGTATGGGCTCTGACCCCCTCGGGGAACTTCTCGGTGATCTCTTTCTACAACAAACTCATTCAACCCCCCATCTTCCCTCTCAATCCTACCTTCAACCTCCAAACTTTCTCAGGTTTGGAAGTCCATTGCACCTCCTAAAGTGCAAACTTTTAATTGGATTGCTGGCTCTGGCAAAGCCCATACCGTGGATCAACTCAAAGAAAAGGTCTCCCTCTTCCCAATAGGTGCTCTCTGTGCGTTTGTCAAGAGGAATCCAACAATCATCTTTTTCTACATTGTAAGGTAGCTTTTGAGTTTTGGGGCCTTGTCCTTCAACTGTTCGGGTTGTACTGGGCAATACCTCAGGCGGTTAAGGATCTCCTAGTCCTCAACCTTGCTGCGCACTGGCCGAAGGCGGGTAGATTACTTTGGAATGCTTCGGTGGCTGCTACAATTTGGACCATTTGGATTGAAAGAAATGGCCACATCTTTAGTGGAAAGGTCCACCCCGTTGCTGTTCTCTTCTCTAAGGTTACCTCCTTAGTAACCTTCTGGGCATCCCAAAATCATACTTTCTGAGGAATTCCGATGGATTCTTTCTTATCCAATTGGGTTTCGATTCTCTTCCACAACCTAAAGAAAAACAAAGTCAGATCCCGATGGTACCCTCCCCCTCGAGGAACTATCAAATTAAATTTTGATGGCTGCTCATTAGGCAACCCAGGTCACGTAAGGGCAAGAGGGGTCTATAGGGATCACAACCAAAACGTTATCCTCTCCTTCTCGGAGTACCTCGGTGTCCATGATGCGCAGTTTGCAGAATCAATGGCCCTCCTTAGAGGTGTACAGAATTTTGACCAATCTTGGGGACTTTCTCTTCTAGTAGAGGGTGACGCAAGAAACATCATTTCTTGGGCTTCTAAGATTGCGCCCCCACCTTGGTACCTTTCATCTATTTACAATGAGATTGATTATCTTTGCAGGGAGATGCCAGTCTCATGGACTCATATCTCGAGGACATCGAATGGGCTCGCTGATCAACTCGCCAAGGATGGTGCAGCAGCCCATGACGCTGCTTAGGGCCTTCCCTTTACAGCCCTGATCTGGTTCCCCTTTTGGCTTACGACCTGCTTATCTCTTTCTTTTCTCTCTACCTTTCGTTCCTCTTTCTCCTTTCGTTCCTCTTTCTCCTTTCCTTTGTATATGAACTTCTCACAGTGTAAGGGGAGCTTATAACCCCATTTTGTTCAATTTTGTATGCGGTCTTTTGACCCATTCTTTTTTACCAGGTGCCTCGGCTTTGAGGCTACCTAGGAATCAACCTTGTACCTCTCTTCTTTCTTTCAAAACAATCTTCAACAGTAATAAAAAAAAAGATGGCAAATGTTGGCACATTCAGTGGTGGAGAATCTTGTAGGATGATGTGTGACCAAGGCATGATATTTTGAACTTGGCATTGTGGCATTGTAATATTCACTGAAATTACAACAGGGCAATAATGAATGAGTGGCATTATAAGAACTGGAGTTATATCTAAGGCATTCTAATTTGCAATTTGTGGATCATTGTCAGCCTTTTTTAATATAAGAACTTTTGACTCGAGTAGTATCTCAAACAAGAAGCTAGATGCATTTCTTCCGCTATGCTTTGTAGTTTTATTACTCCACTGATGCACTCATCATGGAATGACTTGGTTGAATGAGTGTAATTTGGAACTACATGTCATCTTATGAGGTATGACATTATTGGAAGATAATTTTTATCTCTTTGATTTAAGATCTTCTTCCCATTATTCTCTGCATTGCGTTGTCATGATCTTCTTCCCATTATTCTCTGCATTGCGTTGTCATGATCTTCTTCCCATTATTCTCTCCATTGGTTGTTATGATATCTCTGATTATTATTGTAAGTATCATGTGTTTAACAGTTGAGAATTAACCTCTATATAACCATAACAATACACCTCTCCCAGGTGTGAGTGCGAACTTTCACCATCACATCTTATCTCTTTGATCAAGAATGATCTATTAACAACAGAGGTGGCACGTAGGTGCTCTACTTTCCATATATATTTCATTGCAACCTTACACAATCCATTTAAGGTGCACCTTCAAATTTTATCATAACATATCTTTTTGATTTAAAATATTCTCAAGATTATCTCAAAATCTATTTTCATATCTAATTATAAAATTTTAAACTTCAAAAATGATTAACATCAAGTAGATCTATAAAAATATGAAAACCTTGAAAAATGGACCGTCTAGATAATGTGTTGTAAGATGTACCATTTTTGGGATTCAAAATCCTTTTTTTTTTCAGTCATTCATCTCGATGTCGAGATGATCAATTAGAGGATTTTTCAATATTAAAACAACCTTTTCTAGTGGATTTTTGAGGTGCATCCGTAGTTTAAGGTTGCAACCTTATATAAACTTTTCCCTTGTTTAATTTAGGGTGCCAATATTTTGTTTGGTGCAGTAGTGACTGCCGGACAGATTCTAGAAGGAGAAATGTTTGGGATGAAGCTTTCCATGCCAAGGAGTGGTAATGCGGAGCACCTACGTGCCACCTCTGTTGTTCCCCTGCACTCAGGTTTCCAACCTGTTATACAAACCCTGAAAAAGATGTATAGAGTTAAACACCGATAGCGTTTCCATGATCTGTCACTCATGCTCATCTCAGATACATTTGGAGAGAGAGAGAGATTGATTGCTGCAGAAGATGAAATTTGCACCCCTGTTTTTCTAGTATGTGTGAATGCAAGTGGTGAGTGAGAACGAGGGCGTTCTCCCATATGAGAGTGGCATTAAGGCGAATATGTAAAAAATCCATGACATGATATTCATGGCGGCTTCTGTTGAGAGGAGAATTTTTATGTGTGCAGGAGAAATTCATTTTAGTATGGACTTTTGCGAGTGTGGTCTTACTTCTAGATCGAAGATGAATTCATTTTCCTCAGGTGTCATGATTGAAAACTCTTGTTTTATTTTAGTGTACTCTTGCTCTATTTCAGTGTGACCTCGCACAAAAAGGAACAAGATAACATTTTGGGATTGGACCCATGGAACCATATTATACTCATTTGTCCGAATCCCAAATGCATAATTGTGGGACTTTTCTTTTCAGGAACTTTTTGTATCATCTTGATTCACTTTATAAATAGATTTAAAAAATAAAAGGAAAAATATAAATGCTTTTCAATTTCAACTTTCTACACATCCTACCCCCAATACTTTTTGTATTATACTATAAACCTCAATACTATTTTTTTTTATATCTACTTCCCCCAATCAAATATGCAAACCATGTTTTAAACCAAAATGTGTTCTTTTTTTTTTCTCTTTGTCCCTTTTCAACATATTTTTTTTATATTCTCTCAATCTCTCTCTCAACTTACCCAAAATAAACTCACATACGTACTCTCTTTCCCAAAAACTTCTCTCTCTCATGTCCTAGACTCTATTCATGGATCCCGATACCCTGGGAATAGACGTAAATGGAGGCTTCAGACATTGGTTTTAGGAAAAGGTTCAGGGCTTTGTAAACCTAGGTTTTGGTTCTCGAAGGAGCGTTGGTTCTTGAAAACCCCTTTTTGTTTGATAAGCTGTCTGTTGGAGCTGTGTTTTTGGTTTCAAAGTGATCTTTGGTAGCTTTTGGCGGTTTTGAAGATTGAAACTGCGGTTTTGACGAGGGTTAAAGACATGGTTCGGGAGATGAAGTTCTTGAAACCGGGCTCAAGGCTTGATTGTTTTCGAGGAGATGACAATAACACATGGTGTGCTTTTTGTCTTTTTTTTTTTAGTGGCTTTGTTCTATGAATATTCATATGCTTTGTGATTTTTTCTAAGATTCTTCACTTTTTTTTTTCTTTATTTTATACTGGGATTTGTAGTTTTTGAGTTTATTCGAATGCCTATTATTTTCTTGTATGTTGAAATTGCACCGTTTTGTATCATTGTTGGATTTTTTGTTTTTTTGGCTTTTTCTATGAATTTTCATATGCTCTATGATTTTTTTACTTAAACTTTCAAAATGTAATGCATCTTTTGTTGCGCTTGTCATTCAAGAACTGCAAATTTTAAAAGTAGATTCATGCCGTAAATACGCAAATTTGAAACACAAAGAAAATAGATCATTGTGAAAGTAGATTCACATCGTAAATACGCAAATTTGAAAACCATTTTAGTAGTTTTACTGTCCTCTCAATATAAAGCTTTTTTAAACATAAATTTTGTACCAATATAAGATAGAGAAGACACAAAAATCCATTTCTTCACTTTGATTCAATTCTCAAAAGGCTCATACCTCTGGTGTTAATTGTGCATTGTTTTTTTCTTTTTTTTTATCATTTTCATTTATGTGTTGTCCTCGCTGATGTTTCATATGCATAACAGGAGCAGGTTATTAGATTCGGTTGGTGAATAAGCTTATGCAGCCATTGTTCTATAAGACAGATAGAGGTCTGCGCTCTTATATATGCTAAGATGACTTACCTTTCTGTATGTATTAATTACTTGATATAATTCTCTTTCTCATACCAGTACTTATTGCAGTCATTTGTCTTTTGTCTTGTTGGAGTATTTTTGCAATATATAGCTGTTGGCTTGCCTAACTGGCTTTGTCATCTGGATTTTCGTCTTTCCTTCTTTTTTTGAAGTTAAATTTCATTTCCCTTTTTGGGTGGATAGTAATATGTAATTCATTTATTAAAAAATATAGTATCGTTTTTCTTGTTTTATGTATTGGGAAATGAGACACGTGAGATTGGGACCCACAATATAGAGTGATTGAGAGATCGTTTGGGGCTGACCCTATTTTTTTTCTTCCCTTTAAATAATAATAGAACATCATCAAATTATAGCATATGCAACCTACCGATGCAAAGACCCAAAAACATTCACCACGACCTCAAGAACGATATCATGCTTCTCCAATGCCTGATCGTAGGTCCTCATTGGGACTATGAGTTTCTTTGTTACCTGCTATCATGTTGATCTATATTATGAACTTATGAATTACCAACTAGTCAATTCAAAGAATTCGAAGTAGGGGTCGAAATCAAACAATATAGAATTGGAGCTTGAGTTTGACTTTAAGTTCAACCACAAAGCTTTAACACAAGCCAAACCTAGGCTTAGGTACTACCACGCTTGCCTTCTTGCATGTTCAAGGCCCATGGTGTAATATTATATATTTAAGGTGTGGAGTCAAAGTTAATATGAATTTTTTTGCAAGAGGGAAAAAATGGGTGATGATCGGTTGATTTATTGCATTTATGGCGGAGAATTCCGATGAACGGGCGAGAGCACTTTAGATCACATTGGTGGTGGTGCTTCTACTTATTTTGTTAATAGTAGAACTAAGTTAGATGACATGCAAAAGTATTGTGCAGAGCGTTTCTCAATTAATGTGCACAAGATAACATTTAGGTATTTTGTCTCGACGAATAAAAGAATTATTGTGAACTTATTTATTGATGTTGATATTGAGAAGATGTTGAATGCACATGAGGGTGACAATGATATACTTGTTTATGTATGTGATGGAAGTGAACTTAGGGATGAAATTACTTCACATAATCCTACCCCGAGGTACAAATAGGTTTTTGTTTCATTCAATTTGTTTAGTTACATATAGTTGCTTTAGTTACATTCAATTTCTCATATGTGCATTTATAAATGTATTAGCATAATTTAAGGAGACAAACACCTGCAATCCTCTAATATTCTAGACTATGGTGTTAAACAAAGTAATGCACCAAGGTTGTTGAGTTTATGGGAGGATGCACTAACTGGGATGCGGCAAGAGTTTCAATTACTCCATGCCTTCCATGAATCCCTTAGCAAATATGCTATAACACACAACTTTGCATACAGTCTCATTAAAATTGAGGGGTATCGTGAAAGAACAAAATGCACAGGTGATCGTTGCGAATGGGAGATATATATATGCAAGGTTGGCAGGACAAATATATTTCGAATCAAGTCATGGACAAAAGAGCACTCATGTAATATTGGGACAAGCAATAATGTGCAGAAGAGAGCATTAAGGAACTTTATTGCTTCCCTAATAAAAGATAAATTAAGTGACACTAAGCATTACAACGCTAAAGAAATTGTAAATGATTTGACGTGATATTACGGGTTAGATGTATCATATTATAGGGCTTGGAGAGGGAAGGAAGTAGCCATCAAAGAAATACATGGTTCAGAAGAACAAGCGTTCAACCAGTTACCTGCATATGTAGAGTGTCTGTTGGAGACAAATCCTGAAAGTTATACATCGGGGGTGGTATTTGAAGATAGTGGATTTTATTGTCTATTCTTAAGATTTTATGCCTCAATACATGGTTTCAAAAATGGATGTTGTCCACTATGAGATGTACTTGAAGGCATGATACTGAGGTACTCTACTTGCTGCCACCTCAGTCGATGGGTAAGGACAAATGTTTCCTATTGCCTATGCTGTTGTCGATGTCAAAATTGGTGATAATTGGTTGTGGTTTCTAGAATGTCTAAAGCTTGCTATTGAGACAGAGCGATCCATTACTTTGTGTCAGAGAGGTATCATGATACGGTTGAAAATATCTGTCAAGTTTTTGAGATTGCCGATCATGCCTTCTGTGAATGTTATTTGGGTGAGAATTTTAATAAAAAAGCAAAAAACATACCTAATGAGGTAAAAAAGGCAATTGCAAGGGTCTTTAAACGAGCATGTCGAGCATAGAAACAAGTAGAATATAGAGACTTCATGACGGATATTAGATTATATTTTGAATATGACTGTTTAGGGGTAAGCGGAATGGCAAAGTGACAACAAATATCAAAAAGTAGCTCGACAAATTTCACAACTATTATACGACTCTGCAATATTTATCGTCACTTTGACATACCGCTTACCCTTAAACAGTGATGTAGCTCAACGTTCTGGTGAGGCTCTTATGAAATATGCATATGCATCTTCAGAATATGATCTAATATATGCATGAAGTCTTTATACTCTACTTGCTAATATGCTCGACATGCTCGTTCAAAGACCCATACAATTGACTTCTTTACCTCATTAGGTATGTTTTTACTTCCCTCTTAAAATTCTCACCCAAACGACGCTCACAGAATGCATTATCGACATTCTAAAAAAATCGACAGATATTTTCAACCATACCATGGTACCTATCTGACACAAAAGTGATCGATCGCTTTGTGTCAATAGCAAGCTTTATACATTTTAGAAACCACAACCAATTATCATTATTTTCGGCATCAACAATAGCACAGGCAACGAGAAATATTTGGCCTTGCCCATCAACTGAGGTGGCAGCAAGTAGAGTACCTCAGTATCACGCATTCAAGTATATCCCATCAATAAAAAGAAGCAGATGATATATATTTTTGAAGCCATATATTGAAGCATAAAAGCTTAAGAATAGACGATGAAATTCACCATCTTCAAATACCTCTCCGAATGCATAACTTTCAGGATTCGTCTCCAACACACACTCTACATATGCAGGTAAGTGGTTGTATGCATGTTCTTCTGAACTATGTACTTGTTTGATGGCTACTTCCTTCCCTATCCAAGCCCTATAATACGATACATCTAACCCGTAGTCTCGCGGCAAATCATTCACGATTCCTTTAGCCATGTAATGCTTAGTGTCACTTAATTTATCTTTTATTAAGGAAGCATTAAAGTTCCCTAACACTCTCTTCTGTACATTATTGCTTATCCCAATATTACATGAGTGTTCTTTTGTCCATGACTTGATTCAAAACATATTTGTCTTGCCAACTTTGCTTTGTATATATCTCTCATTCACAGCGCACCCGTGTATTTTACTCTTATACGTTACCCCTCGTTTTTAGAGAGACGGTATGCAGAGTGATGTGCAATTAGCATATTTGCTAAGGGATTCACGGAAGGCGTCGAGTATTGAAACTCCTGCCCTATCTCAGTTAGTGCATCCTCCTATGAACTCAACAACCTTGGTGCATTACTTTGTTCAGAACCATAGTCTAGAACATTAGACGATTAGAGGTGTATGTCCCCTTGAATTATCCTAATATATTTATAAATGCACATATGAGAAATTGAATGTAACTAAAGCAAATATATAAAACTAAACAAATTGAATGAAACAAAAACCTATTTGTACCTCGGTGTAGGATTATGTGAAATATTTCCATCCCTACATTTACTTCCATCATATACATAAATGAGTACATCATTGTCACCTTCATGTGCACTCAACATCCTCTCAATATCAGCATCAATAAATAAGTTCCCAAGAATTCTCTTATTCCTCGAGACAAAATACTTAAATGTTATCTTGTGCACATCAATTGAGAAATGCTATGCACAATACTTTTGCATGTCATCTAACCTAGTTTTACTATTAACAAAATAAGCAGATGCATCACCACCAGTGTGATCTCACCCGTTCGTCGGAATTCTCCACCATGAATGCAATAAATCAACTGATCATCACCCATTTTTTCCCTCCTGTAAAAAATTTGTATTAACTTCGACTCCACACCTTACATATATAACATTACGCCACAGGCCTTGAACGTGTAAGAAGCCAAGCTTGGTAGTGCCTAGGCTTCGCTTGTGTTAAAGCTTTGTGGTTAAAGTTCAAGTCAAACTCAAGCTCCAATTTTATATTGTTTGATTTCGACCCCCACTTCGAATTCTTTGAATTGACTTGTTGATAATTCACAAGTTCATAATATAGATAAACATGATAGCAGGTAACAAAGAAACTCAGGGTCCCAGTGAGGGCCTAGGGCAAGGCATTGATGAATGTTTTTGGGTCTTTGCATCGGTAGGCTGCATATGCTACAATTCGATGATGTTCTATTACTATTTAAAGGGAAGAAAAAAAATTAGGGTGAGCCCCACAACATCTCTCAGTCAGCCACTTTATATTGAGGGTCTCATTTCCTAGTACAAGAAAAACGATAATATATTTTTTAATAAATCAATTATATATTATTATCCACCCCAAAAAGGGAAAAAAAATTAGCTTCAAAAAAAGAAAAAAGGATCAAATCTCTAATGACAAATCGGGCAAGACAAGTCAACATCTATACATTGCGCAATACTCCGTAAGGCAAAAGACAAATAAATGCAATATGTACCAGTATGAGAAAGAGAATTATAGTTAGTAATTAATACGTATAGAAAGGTTAGTTATCCTAACATGCATAAGTTTCAATGAGAGCATAAACCTCCATATGTTTTCTAGAGCATTGCCTGCATTTGCCTCTTCACCAACCAGATCTAATAACCTTGTCCTAATATGCACATCACACAACAACGAGGAATGAGTAAGGACAACACATAAATGAAAATGACAAAAAAAAAAAAAAAAAACAACTGCAAAATTAACACAAGAGGTATGAGCCTTCTGAGAATTGAATCAAAGTGAAGAAAAGGATTTTTGTGTCTTCTCTATCTTATATTGGTACAGAAATTATGTTGGGCAATAAAACTGCTAAAATGGTTTTCAAATTTGTGTATTTACGATATGAATCGACTTTATTACAATGATATTCTTTTTTTGTGTATCAAATTTGCGTATTTATGATATGAATCTACTTTTCTAATTTGCAGTTCGTGAATGACAAGCACAAGAAAAGACGTATTATATTTCGAAATTGAAGGTTAAAAATCAAAAGGAATCAGAGAAATGGGGGCAGCTGAAAGTACTCAAGCCATTAAATCAACACTTTGATGACAATTAGGAGGATTCACAAAAACAAGTTTGACTCCAACAATCATACAAAGCAGTGCAATTTCAACCTGCAAATAGGCATTCAAATAAGCTCAAAAACTACAAATCCCATTATAATTTTTTTTTTAAAAAATAAAAGTGATCTTATCTTAGAAAAAATCACAGAGCATATGAAAATTCATATAACAAAGCCAACAAAAAAAATGAAGCGCACCTTGTGTTATTGCCATCTCGAAGAAATCAGGCTTTGAGCCTAGTTTCATGAACTTGATCTCCAAAACCATGTCTTTCACCCTCGCCAAAACTGCAGTTTTAGACTTTAAAACTGTCGAAAGCTACCAAATACCCCTGAAACCAAAAACACAGATCCCAAAAACAACTAATCAAACCAAAAGGGGTTTTCAAGAACCAGATCTCCTTCGAGAACCAAAACCTAGGTTCACAAAGTTCTGAACCTTTTCCTAAAACCAATATCTGAAGCCTCCATTTCCATCTATTTCCAGGGCAATGGAATCCATGAATAGAGAGTTCGGGATGAGAGAAGTTTTCGGGGGAAAGTAAGAGAGAATATGGATGAGAGTTTTTTTAGTAAGTAGAGAGAGATAGAGAATACAAATGAGAGAGGAAGTTTATTTTGGGCAAGTATAGGGAGAGATCGAGAGAATATAAAAATATATGTTGAAAAGAGGAAGAGAGAAAAGAAAAGAAAAAAAAAAAACAATAGCATCTCAAAATTGGAGGAGATACAACAAAAAAATAAAATATAGTATTGAAGTTTAGGATATAATACAAAAAATTTTGAGAGTAAAATGTATAAAAAGTTGAAATTGGCGGTATTTATAATTTTTCCTACTATTTATTTTTCTGACTAATGTTTAGATTATATTAATTATAATCATAACTAATAAGATATTGTTAAACGATTGAATTATTATATAAATGATATTTTTAGAATAATATAATAAATAAAGTTTAATCATATTATTTTTAATTATCATTACAATATTAATTGCAATATCAATAATATGCAGGGCAGAAAGATTCAAATAAGAGAAGATAGAGAGATTTTCAAATTAGAATAAAAAGTGTTTCAAATCAAACTTGAGGGAAAAATCTTCAAAATGCAAGGTAGAAAAATGGATTCAGATAAAATACATGAGAGAGAGAGAAGCATACCTACAAGTGAATTGCAATGAATAATAGTTAGATAAGGGTTTTGTTAGGCTACATCATTTGGTAGTATAGGCTTTTAAAGTGCTCAATATTTTTTGGATATTAAAATACCTTTAAATTATAATATAAAATTTTTCAAGTATAGGCATTTTTTGTCATTTAGAAAGGTAGAATGGATATTTTTATAAGAAAATAGTGGTATTTTCGTAGCAATTAAAAATAATTAATACATCTTGTGGGTTATGTCACACACTATATCGGTGGTCATTGTCCACTATTGTTAATAAATGTTTTTGTTTCTATTAGGAATTTTCAGTTTACTCTTGACTGATTACTTAAAATATATCTAAACAAAAAATTACTATACTATAGGATAAGAGTATCTAAATGTATAAAAATGTTGTGCATTTTAAGAGTCTACACCGCAAATGGTGTGGCCTAACAAAACTCTTCAGATAAATAAAAACTTTGTACTTCCATCTTTGCTATTATATTGGGTGGTGTTTTTCTTCAGGGCAGGCAAGAGAGAGAGAGGGCATAAAAGATGCACGTTATTTGGAGAGAGAAATTTTTAAAAGAAAATAAATGAGGACTAAGAGGGAATCACTTAAAGGGATTGTATACAATGAAACCATTTACCTTTTATACAAGGTGGTCACAATTATGTACAATCATCCGATGTGAAATCTGATAGCTTGGGTGTGTCACAAAGTTTCAAAAAATTTATTTTGAAGTTTCAGCTTGATCAATAGAATAAATGTAGCCATCTAATTTCAAATCCAATGGTCAAGATTAATTTTGATCACATTGTACTAAAGATAAATTAGCTCATTGTATACTTTCTCTTACTTTAAATTTGGAAAGGATGAAATAGGAAGGGGAAAAAGATATTCGTTGAGCCTTCACATTGTAGTACTATGAGGGGGCTTTACACACAAATAAAGAAGATTTACAACTTCTGTTTTGTTTTCATAATAAAAAGAGAAAGGTGCAAATAGAAAGAAGATTTAAAATTTTTATCTTATTTCGATATTGGAAGAGAAAGTTGCATATAAAAAGAAAAGTTACAATTGTCATTTTGTCTTTATAATGAAAAGAGAAAAGCTACGGTGGGTGGGTTGCCATAGGTAGCCAGCTAACATAAAACTTTACTAAAACTTATCATGAATCTGAAATATATGGTGAATCAGGATTCATGTAGCCAGTCTCAATTAGTTGGAAAAATGCTTTGATGGTGATAATAACATGTAATCTGCATAGTCCATTATAGTTCTCCTATAATTTTTTTTACAAAGGTAAAAAACTACATCTTCATCGATGATGGATTGTGGAGATTGCAATGGTTTTGACTAAATATATTTAAAAAAATGGAAATGCAGCGGAATCAACGATAAAACTCATTTCCATTAAATTTATACTCTTTTGTCTTTGCGGCGCTTAGGGGTCTATTTGCAAGGAAAATAAACCATGTCATCCAAGCCATCCCTTTTTATTGTCTTCTACTTTGAAAATTCTTGTTACTCCAAAAAACCTACACAAAAATGATAAGAAATGTATACAATGAAACCATTTACTTTTGACACAAAGAAATCACAATCACCATTGACCATTGCACATTTTCATCCATTGGATTTCACACCCAATGATTAAAAGTGATTGTGATATCTTTCTACCAAAAATCAATGGTATCATAGTATACAATCTCATAACAATATTCTATCAAAATAAAAAACAATATTCTATCAAAATAAAAAGGGTAGAGTATATATTTGAGGGAAAAATTCACTTTATTCAGGTCATATTTATCAAAGAAATCTATTCAAAGAATCTTATTCAAAGACACTTATTCATCTTATTGAAACAACACAACTAGTATGAAATTGGGGGCACAAGGTATCCCTAGTTGTTATGCATCCCGAACTGGGATTGGAGTTAATTCACCACCTTGTTATCAGCTTGGAATGCCTTAACCATTACATTACTGGAGATTGGCCAGCTTCGATCCGAAAACCGCGTTAGCAATAGTGATCACCCCTGGATTTTGGCTACTCAATGCTGCAATGGCCACCGCATTCTTGTAGCCGACATTGCCGAAAATGATTGAGGCCTTCAGGGAAAACAAATATGTCTCCCTTTTGAAGTGTCTTGGTGATCATGCGGTTGTCGGGATTACTCGTCACAGCACCGACATAAAGGGAGCCTTCCAATACCGTTAGGATCTCGGTGGCACGAGGGTGGGTGTGGGGAGAATTCTAGCCACCATGAGCATAGTCTATGCGGACCATGGAGATACTGAGAGTGTTGAGGCCTGCTATCTGGGCAACATTCACGGGGGTCACCCTCGAGCCAAGTGGGTTGGCCCTGTTGCCGGGTGTGTCAAGCCCAGCGAAAAAGAAGTCATTTGATTGTGCCAACTTAGGGTCCTTGCAAACCTTGCCATTAACAGACATTGTATGCAATAGAAACATAAGTCACACTACACTTATCAGGTGAGGAAATACGAATGCATCTTTTTATGACACTACACATGAAACAATAAAAATAGACTGGTAATACTTTTTCAAAAAGAAAATGTAAAATGTGCATACTAATCCTATGGGCGAGATTATATGATTAGTCATAAATAGCAATAATAAAAATAATAAAGCGTTTTTTAAAAAGTAAGGCCTAGTAATTACACGGCTTTATTTTATCAAGAAAATTTAAATAAAATAAAACAATAAGAAATACATATAATAAGACCATTTACTTTTGGTATAAAAAGATCATAATCATTATTTTCTATTAGATAGGAAATTGGGTGGTTGGGGAAGTGTCTTTGATTTGATGCAAAGTTCTCTCAAATATGGCTAAAAATAATTGTGATTTCACATCCAATGGCTAAAAATAATTGTCCCCTCCTTGTACCAAAACTAAATGATATCACAATGTACAATCCCAAAACAATGAAGTAAAAACACTAGTATCAGAGATACCTTTGCTTGCATTGTCTACAACACAAAAATCTTGGAGGGGCAAAAGAAGCTACCAAGGCAAAGAAGGAGAAGACAAGGTCATATTTGCTCTCAGAAAGTAAATATGTATGAAAAAGAGAAAGTTTAGGGTGTTAAAAGAAGATGGTTTAGAGTTATGTGAGGTGTGACATATTTATGAGGCATGGGAATGTCTCTGTAGAAAGTTAACATGGTAGGCTAGGATTGAATGAGTCTTTAGTATCTTTCATCTACCTTTGAGGGCTAATTCAATACACACATGCTTGTGTTTTTGGGGCAAGAACATGAAAACTCAATTAATTATTTGCTTTCTTCAATCTCTCTATCTCTCTCTCTGTGACAATGTAAAACTCAATTAACTATTTGTTTTCTTCAATCTCTCTCTCTCAATGCGATCATGGGTGAGCGGCATGGCTTTTTGTTTCTCTCCTATGTCTCTGTCTTAATGCCATTTTCCTTTGCACACTACAAATACTTCAAATTGAAAAATAAAAATAAAGCCCATGGTATATGCTCTCCTGAGTATTACCATACACCTACTCCCTCGGGCAAAATACCTATTTGAGACAAATTCTTTTTCCTATCTATATGAGCATCACGAAATGATTATATTAGTTCTTAAACACCTTGATATGGGTGCCCAAATATTAGACGGTTGTTGTTCAATCTTGGGTGGTTAATTTTTTGAGCCATATATAGGGTTCTAATTAAATTTTCTTTTCTTTGAAGTTAATTATTAGGTTCTAGAGGTTACATCCCTAAATTCAGGGTCCACAAAAAAAAAAAGAAAAAAAAAATCCCCAACATGAGCTTTAGCTAAAAGGGAGCAAACTCACAGTATGCTACCACGGAAGCAATAAATCTTTTAGCATAAAAATAAATTATAAAAGTAAATGGGATAAAACTTTGACTATGGATAGGATAGTGTTTGGATTAAGTAACGGAAATAAATGGATTCAAAAGCCTTAATTGAAATGGCCCAATGCCCTTCCCTTTCCCTAAGACCTCTTTAATAAGTAACCATTAAAAGCCCAATAATTTAAGATCCAACTTGAACACCAAACACATAGAGTCCCACTATAAATATGAACTCCTCTTAGGATCATTCTTCACTTCTACAACTTTAGCTTCTTTCTCTTTCAAGCTTGTTTTAGAGAGAGAAAATGAGAGCTCTTTTTGGTCATATTCCTTTCTCTCTCTGTCTCCCTCACCTATGCCTTTGATCCGAATCCCTTGCAAGACTTTTGTGTGGCTGACAATACAAGCCAATGTGAGTGCCTTCTTAATTTATGATTATTTCATATTAAGAAAGAAAAAGTTCATGTAAGGAGGCAAACTTACTTGTAGAGATAGTCAACGCTGTTTATTTTTAGTTGAACATTGTAGATTTGTTATTGCCTTATATGACATGTTAAATCTATACTATTTTAACTAAAATAGATGGTATAGAAATATGTAATCTTACTTACGCAAGTAAGCTTGCCGCCTTACATGTATGGAACCGAAGAAGAATAACTTTATATACCGAGACCCCTAACTATGTATACACTCGTCACAAATGCTGTGTACACTTTGCACAAACGGCCCATGTCATCAGATGTGAAATTAGACGGTTAGTTGTGTCATTTCCCGTTATAATAAATATTGTGCAAAATTTTCTTGAACTTCAAATATGATCTGTGGTTCAACCTTTGCCAGCCAATTTCACATCTACGGCTAGGGATGATTTTGACCTTTTTATATCAAAGATAAACGTTTTAAACAACCCTAATACTTTTTCCTTTATGTAAGCATAGGATTAGATCTTAGTATAATTCGATTAGGCATCATTTTTATTGTTTAGTTATGTCAAATTATTTTACAGAAGCCTCACCCCCTTTCATATTGGGGTTTAGGGTTTTGTAATTTTGAAATATGAGTTTTTCTAAGGTAATTTCCACTGATTTCTTTGTTTGCGCAGTGTTTGTGAACGGCAAGCTGTGCAAGGACCCAAAGTTGGCACAAGCAAATGACTTCGTTTTCGCCGGGCTCGATAAGCCCGGCAACACGGCCAACCCAGTAGGCTTGAAGGTGACCCGTGAACGTTGCTCAGATACCAGGCCTCAACACTCTCGGCATCTCCATGGTCCGCATAGACTGTGGTCCTGGTGGCCAAAATCCTCCCCACACTCACTCTCGTGCCACAATGCTCCCTTTATGTCTGTTTTGTGACTAGTAATCCCGACAACCACTTGATCAGCACGACACTTCAAAAGGGAGACGTGTTCGCCTCATCCAGTTCCAACAAAATGTGAGCTATAAGAATGCGATGGCCATAGCAGCCTTGAGCAGCCAGAATCCAAGGGTGATCACTATTTTGCTAATGCGGTTTTCGGATCATAACCGGCCATCTCCAGTGATTTGTTAGCTAAGGCTTTCCAAGTTGACAAGAAGGTCGTGACCCAGCTCGAATCCCAGTTCTGGATGGACAATAACTAAAGAATTCTTGTGCCCCAATTCTTATATATTTGTGTTTGAATAAAGATGATTTAATATATGGATTTTGTTTTCTCCAATAGGCAGTAGCTTAGCTTCCCATGTGCAATTTATTAGTAATGGCAAATCTTTGTTAAAAGAATAATGGAATGAGAGAGAGAAGGGGGGGTGTCTCCAAAGAGAAATGACTGTGTATCCATGCACTTCAAATTTGAATGGAACTAGAAAGTTGCCACAAAGGGATGGTATTAAAACAAGACCAAAAGCCAAATCAGAGATCCCTCAACAAGATATATCAATTTGTTCAATGTTAACACGGTATACAGTTGACATACTGTGTGGAAACCGTGTGTCTGGTTGTTTTTTTTATTTTTGTGGATCTTCTTATCAACTTATAAATTGTAAGAAGACCATTAGAAAAAAGTGAAAAAATAAAACCGTATTTTTTCCTTCCTCGTGGATGTAGGTTGTGTATAGCCGAACCACGTATATGCTATGAGTTCATTTCTTCTTCTTTTTTATGAATGAATTATTTAACATGATATCAGAGTCAGGTTTTTAGAAACTTATTTGGTAGAGCAGTTGGTCACATTCTTCTGACGCATTACGGTTTTATGCTCTCTCTTATTTGCGATTTGGCCTCCAAAATTTTTTTGGTCTCCCTTTCTCTCTTCCAAGGTAAAGTTGCTCTGCACAGGAAAGGCAAAGCTTCCTGTATACATCAAAACGAGAAAGATGTTTACTTTTTTACAAAAAGGGCAAAAGGTGGTCCATAGGGACCGTATTATATCAAAAGTATGTTGGAGCAAACATTTCATATTTGAATGGTATTTTGGTATTTTAAATAGATCAGCAATGACTATTCTTTGAACCTTATTTTTTGTGCGCCGCTCCTAAGGTCAGTGATTTTACTTTGACTATATTTTATTTTTTCATCATGGTTGAAAATTCAAACGCAAATGACTCAAATCCAAATCTCATAATTACTATTAAGGTTTTGAAAGGAGGGATAAATTATCATTTTTATCAAACTCAGCCCAATTGTTTATAAGTGAAAAATGCAAGTTAGGGTATTGACCGGCTCTAAGAAACCTCCTGAAAAAGATGAATCATCCCATGGAGACTGGCAAACCAATAATGACTTAGTCAAATCTTGGTTATTAAATTCAATGGACAAAAAAATTGCCACAGGACTTCAGGTTTTTCCTACTGCTGCTACAATTTGGAATAAAGCCAATGATGTTTATGGTGGAATAAATAATGCCTCCAAAATATATCAAATTATGCAAGAAATAATGAATTTAATAAAGGGTGAGCAAACATTTGGAGAGTTAATTAGTACTATGCATGCTTTATTTGATCAACTTGAATACTATTTGTCTACAACTACCGATTTTGCAACCCTTACTACAAGAAAAGATCAAGATATGACATTTGCTCTTCTGTCTGCTCTTGGTTCTGAATATAAAGTCTTATGAGTCAAATTCTCCTCACATCCACCCTACCTGATTTCGACACCGTTTGGAATATTTTGTCAAGAGAATAAACTTGTAGAGAAGTTATGACTGAAACTCCAAAAGATAAGCTCGACAAATCAGTCTTGAAATCCAAAGCTAATGAGGGTGCTGAAAAAGTTGCTGGTTCCAAGAATTTTATTACTTGTGGAAAAGGACGTAATTCAAATCATCCCTACTATCCTGAATGCATAAAAGAATGACACTCTAAAGATATTGTTGGAAACTCCACCCTGAAAAGAAAAACCAATTTCTTGAAAAAAAGAATGCTTCCAACATTGCTGAAATAATGCCCAACAAACCCTTGAGAAGCTGGCACAACTTGTTCAAAATTTTGGTAAGGCTTCTGTTGGTTCAAATTCACAAGATTACATCAATGTTCTAGGTAATACATCCTTGTTCTCTCAGTCTTTCGATTCTTGGATTATTGACTCCAGTGCCACCGACCACATGGCTGGTACTGATACAATTTTATCCAATTTTGATATATCTCCTAAAACTTGTCCCGTCACCATTGCCAATGGCTCTACTATAGTTGTGGAAGGAAGTGGAAAAAAACAATTTTTCATAAATTCTTCCAACTAAGATATTCTATTTTTATAAAAATTTTCATCAAATCTTCTTTCAGTCAGTAAAATTACTCATACTCATAATTGTGATGTCATCTTTACGCCGACTATTGTTACTTTTCAGGACCAGGCCACGGGGAGGAAGATTGGTGAGGGACGGTTGGAACGAGGTCTATACATTTTGGATACAAATTGCAAGGCTTTTGTGACTTCAAAGGAGAAGGTAACTGGTTGTCAAATGTGGCATCAGCGTTTTGGCCACCTATCAAACAGAGTTATTGGATCATTATTTCCTAGTTTACACTTGGATTCTAAAGACTGCGATATTTACCATTATGCTAAGCAAATCAGATTGCCTTTTAAAACTTATGACAAAAAATCATCATCTATTTTTAGTTTGATTCATTCTGATGTTTGCGGTCCTAGTCCTATTACCTCATATTGCGGGCATCAATATTTCTTGACCTTTGTTGATGCTTTTTCTAGACATACTTAGGTTTATTTACTTCATTCTAAGGATCAAGTATTTCTTACCTTTAGAGAATTTTTTAATATGATTGAAACTCAGTATGGCGTTAGAATTAAGATTTTACAGTCTGATAATGGAACTGAATATGTCAACAATTATTTTTCTACTTTTTTCAAAGAGAATGGAATAATTCACCAAACCTCTTGTGTTGGTACCCCTCAACAAAATGGAATAGTTGAACGCAAGAATAGATACTTACTTGAAGTTGTGAGGTCTCTCTTGTTCCAAAACAATGTCCCTAAAAGTTTTTAGAGTGATGCGGTTTTAACTGCTTGCTATCTCATAAATAGATGGCGAAATAATTTTTTGCAAGAAAAACGGCAGTTGAAATGTTGGAGGGAAAGAAAAGTTCTCTATAACACTTGATGATTTTTTGTTGTACATGTTATGTTCACAATCAAAATTCTGATAAATTAAGTCCAAAGACAAGGAAATGCATGTTTCTTGGATATAGTCCAACTCAAAAGGTATATAAATACTATGATAATTTTTCAAAAACTGTTATTATCTCTCGTGATATTATTTTTCAAGAAAATGAACCTTACTTTCCTCAACTTCCTATGAATGAAGAAATTAAGGTTCAGGGGGAGAATCATGTGATGCATTTGATTTCAAGTGCAGACTATGTGGAGAACAAACTCAATCATAACATTCAAAATGAGGGGGAAGCTAGAAATGATGAAGAACCTCAAGAAACCAATCCCTCACCATCTGATCCCCAAAGTGGGACCCAGTCGTCCTCGAAGAAACGTTCAACTCCCAAGTAAGTATCGTGATTTTCACATTTTTAATGCTTCCACCAATTATCCAATTCAAAAGTTTGTTAACTATTCCAATGTTTTTCAAAAATATAGTTCGTATCTTTGTTGTATATCTGCCATTCAAGAACCTGCCAGCTTCCAAGAGGTTTGTTCCTATCCTGTCTGAAAAAAGGCTATGGAAGAAGAGCTTTGAGCCCTCGACAAAAATAAAACTTGGGAACTAGTTGAATTACCCAAAAGGAAAAAGCTGGTTGAGAATAAATGGATTTATAAAATAAAATACAACAGCAATGGAACTATAGAGAGTTACAGGGTACGACTTTTTGCTAAAGGGTTTACCCAAACCTACGTTGAAGATTATAAGGAGACATTTGCTCCTGTTGATAAAGTGAATACCATCAGGGTTTTATTTTCAATTGCAACTAATTATGATTGGCCTCTATATCAACTTGATGTTAAAAATGTATTTCTGCAAGGCGACCTTGAAGAGTTCCTCAAGGATATCCTCATGAAAATTCCAATCTTGTGTGCAAGTTAAAAAAGGTTGTTTATGGCCTAAAGCCATCTCCTAGGGCCTGGTATGTAAAGTTAAGCTCTTCCTTAGAAAACTATAATTTTAAAAGATGTAATGCAGATTCATATATGTTTGTAAAAAAAGGTGAAAATGGAAGTGTTGTGGTTCTTGTTTATGTTGATGATATTATTGTCATTAGGGATGATGCCCAAGGTATTATTCATCTTAAGAATGACCTCCACCATGTATTCGACCTAAAGGATTTGGGCAAATTAAGGTATCTTTGGGAGTTGAAGGGGCTTATTCAAACAAGGGTATTTTTCTCTCCCAAAGGAAATATACTCTAGATCTTTTGAAAGCAACTAGCAAATTAGGAGTTAAACCTAGTGAGACTCCTATCAAAATGAATTCCAAGTTAACTATTTAAGACGGTCGACCTCTTAAAGATATTGGAAGGTATCAATGGTTGATAGGAAAATTAATATATTTAACCATCACAAAACGGATATTACTTATGTTGCAAGTATTGTGAGCCAATTCATGCATGCTCCTCGTAATTCTTGTATGGAAGCTGTCAAGAAAATCATAAGATACCTCAACGGTTCTCCTGGTAATGGAATTTGGATGTATTAAAATTGTCAAGTTGATATTCTTGGGTATTGTGATGCTGATTGGGTTGGGAATCCATCAGATTGAAAAACCAATTACTAGTTTCTGCACATTTGTTGATGGAAATATTATTACTTGGAAAAGCAAAAAACAAAATGTTGTGGCTCGTTCTAGTACTGAAGCAGAATATCGAGTTATGGCTTCCACTGCATGTGAACTTATATGGCATAAAGCTCTCCTCCAAGAACTTGGTTTTTGATACCTGGTTCTCCAGTCAAATTGTATTGTGACAATCAAGTTGCAATCCACATCACTTCCAATCCAGTTTTTCATAAAAGAACCAAACATATCGAAGTTGACTGTCATTTCGTCAGGGAAAAAGTTCAAGCTAAAGTAATTTAAACTCCATATATCAATAGTGAAAATCAACTTGCTGATATCTTTACCAAAGCTGTCGGAAAAGAGAGGCTTAAATAGATTCTTGGCAAGTTGAGTGCTTTAAATCTATTTGCACCAGCTTGAGGGAAAGTGTTAACATGGTGCACAATTGGCATACCGTGTGAAAACCGTGTGCTTAGGTGTTTCCTTTATTTTTTGGATTTTCTCATCAACTTATAAATTGTAAGGAGCCTATCAGAAAAAAGTGAAAAAATAAAACCGTATTTTTTCCTTCCTCGTAGATGTAGGCTGTGTATAACCGAACCACGTATATGCTCTGAGCTCATTTCTTCTTCTTTTCTGTGAATGAATTATTTAACATTCAGTATCACTATGTTTTAAAAGAAATAAAGTTGACTTTAGGATTTCCTCAAATCAATCGGAATCAAACCACTCAATTTATTTTTACGTAAAGTAAGAGCCACAGTTTTTTAAAGCCCTACCATAAATGTCAATGCAAAATGCAGTTTTGGCATAATGATCATTTAGGGAAAGTTAGGGCCACAGTTTTCTTAAGACATGCCTCAAATGTCAATGCAAAATGCAGTTTTGACATAGTCTTGGCTAATTTGGTTGGGAGTAAAAATCAGATTTCATCAAAAAAATCGGTCAAAACTAATATTTGACTGATTTTGCAAGTTCAACTAGCCAGTTTTGATAAGTTCAACTGGTGCAATTTTTTTTTTCTAATATATTATATGTTTATACAATTATTCATGTTTTCTCTTAATGTTTTTAAATTCGAATCAAATCAGTTAGACCGGCAGTGGGACTGGATTTGACTGGATCAGGCCCCTCACCAGTTCAATGATCGATCCAATCCTGATAACAATGGCTTTGAGTGTTTGAAACATTGAGAAAATCAATTATCTTGACCTCAACAATCATATATTTACATAACACATAAAATTAACAACAACAATTATAATAATTGAAGCCAAAAATAATATATCTTGTAATATGCTTTTTGCATTATTTAATTACTCCTAAGCCATTCGAGAGCTTCAAATTCCATTGTTAGATATAGCAATAGATTTGCAATCTATTACAAGTATTTCCACATCCAGGACCACATTTCTGGAGGGTATTAAATTGTCCCAAATATCATAAAGCGATATCACTATCAAAACTTATACCCTTTTTTCTACTCATCTTTGATTTTCTATTAGGAGAAGGGTGTGGTTTGTATAAGGTTGCGACTTTGTTTGTAGAGATGAGGTTGTAATGTTCTAAACTGTCAATTTTAATTAGATAATGTAGATTTTATATATTTTTTAAAACAATATCAAAAAGTGGCACGCTTTGAATATATATATATATCTATATATTTATATATATAGAGATACTAATTTGAGTAAAGATTTACAAAAATTATAATGAATATTATAACAAAAAATCAATTGATTCTATCACTATAGTTTTATCTATCTCTCTCAATGCACTCTCTCGATGGATATTCCCTCTCTCGGTTCTCTCAATGGATTTTCTCTCTTTTTCTCAAGTAAATATTGCTGACGTCTTATAATTAATTTAAAGTATAATATTATAGCTTAATAATGTATAATTACACTATAATCATACCATGATAACCATATTAATAAATATGAAAACACTATTGTATGAAAATATAAAAAAATTATATGAAATATAAATTTATTAAAAATTCGTTCTAATATTACAATTAAAACAAATATTATATACATATACTATAACAAGGTTTTAAAAAATACCGATTCAGATCGTAAAATTATTACATCCGATATCATATATCGGGAACCCGCCAGCTCTCTAACAGTATTTGGGGTCTTTGGACTTTTGGAAAGTCATGCAATTTTTTAATTTGTTTTTAAAAAGAATGGAGGCCGCCAACTCCAATTCTCTTGGAAGTCGTGCAATGACTAGGACAGCATATGTAGTTGCATGAGCCCATCTCAGCGACTTGCGCATGTGGGTAACGCTTACATCGTATTCCGTATTCCTAAGCCTTTTATACAGCCTTCCGCTTCTTTTATCTTTAAATCCACTTTTTAGCAACTGCATAAAAAGGCTTTGTTTAATATGTACACTATTGCACAATTTTTTTTTTTTGTTTTTTATGAATTGCATGAAATAACTTTGCCAATTACGTGCACTATTGCATGAAACCAGCGTTTTAAAAAAACGTCGAGTCGAA